TGGTGGGATCAATCCCTCCTTACATGCTTCAAATTCGCGAATTATGGTATCAAGGTTACCAATCTTGAGAATAAGACTTAGAGAGCAAATCAGCTCCCTAACTTGAGCTCTATCGCACGATTGGAGTATCAAAGAAGGGTGAAATTCCTAAATGTCCGAATAGCCTCCAACTTATAGATGTGGTCGACTACACACCGATAAGAAGGACTCTACTAGACACGGCTCCGAGACATCCTAGGACACATTAAAACTTAGGCTCTGATACCAAGTTTGTCACGCCCCAAAATCCGAGGAGCGCGACCGACGCTCAACCGAGTAAACCCGACCGAGCAAGCCTGTTAGGTCTCATTCTACCCAAACTAATTCATGAATAAATAGGAGATGGACTCTATTAAATTCTATAAACACATCATTAACGATTTCTATTTCATTTTCATTAGCAACTTCATTCACCATTTTAAAGGTATTACAAGTTTTATACATCATTGCCAAACATCAATATTTCTATTTTAAATTCCAATACCCGACACTACCCACAACCTGTCTACGGAGCCTCTAAATACAACTGAAGAATAATATGGAAATGCCGGCAACAAGGCTCCGGCTATACCTTACACAAATACCAAAATAAGACTCCGGGAAGAAAAGCGGCATGAGCCACGCAGGGCCCCGAGAGGAAAGGGGCTCACCAATTCAGCTGACGGGAAGTGAAGGAGTACTACTGTCGGTGGACTGGAGTACCTGCTATAGATCCACCTACAATCATAAAACGAATGTAGCGCCCCCGGCAAAAGGGACGTCAGTACATTTGAATTGTACTGGTATGTATGAACAAACTTTACCCCAAGTAAAATCAAACAATACAAACTTTACCCCAAGTAGAATCAAACAATACAAAATTTACCCCAAGTAGAATCAAACAATACAAACTTTACCCCAAGTAGAATAAAACAATACAAACTTTACCCCAAGTAGAATCAATCAATACACAGGTAACAAACAGTAATAGAATCAACAATCAAATGCACATGAAAGGAACAACCAAAGCCAAACAACTTTCACAATCTCTCCTTTTCCCCTTTCAACATTATTTCATCACATCAATGATTTCACAACTTTCTCATATTTTCATTTCAATAGTGATTTCGATCACTTTTCCACCCTTATTACCTCGGCCACCCTTATTACCTCGGCCACCCTTATCACCACAACCCACACCTTATTACTTCATGTTTCGGCGCGCAACCCGATCCCACCGAACAATCACATTTCACACAACAACAACAACAAATCACATTTCACACGAGAACAACAACAAATCACAAAGAATTTTCATAACCATCAATACCATTTCCATCATATACAACAACCCGCATACAATTTAAGTCACAACGATAATTGCCCACGACAAGTCACATACGATATTACCACAGTTGTTTCAATTGCATCAATCACTATTTCTTTCCCTCATTTGTTACACAGCTTTTACCACATAAACACATTCACACACACACACACACTTGGTTTGTTGCCATTTATTTACACCATTATATCGGGAGACTTAACCAACAACGTTCAAGGCATATCAATCACAAGAATTCACAAATAGTCCACATAGGTATCACATATCAAATACTCGTACAAAACTAACCAACAACGTTCAAGGCATATCCATCACAAGAATTCACAAATAGTCCACATAGGTATCACATGCCAAATACTCGTACACCAAACAAGGTGACTTTACAAAGGTTAAAGTTAGCCATACATACCTCAATTTTGCCACTTAATGATACTACAATGATCCAATACACTTAAGCAACTTCAATCTACAATACCACATTCAATGGGGCCAATATTAGTAACAAATTCCATAACTTATGTCATTTAGGCATATTATCAAACACCTTGTAGTATAAATCTTTTCATCTCATAACCATAGTATTAGTTCATCCATCTATCACCATTAACTAACAATTGTAAACACCTAATTTTTGACCACACCCAAATTCTATTCTATTTTACTATAAATATTTCTTTAAGGTGTCTAATATTGATACTTTAAATTTTTATCTCATTTTTTTCATTGTTTTTATTTGAGAAAGATTAAAAAGCTAAAAAAAATTGCATATTCTTAGAGTTTATATTTTGTTCCTATATTTAAATATAAGAAAAATAAATATTTTTGTTTAATTAAGAACTTAATAAGTAGACTAATAGCTTTTAATTTATTTTTAGCCCCATTTTTATTTTGCTTAACTCCCCTATCCCATTACCCACGTACTACCCCACATATCTATCCCACATCCCCACTCCTCACGTCTCTACCTTCCCACTTTCCTCCACTCACAATCCCACATCCCCACTTATAACTCTTTTGCACAAGACTAGATAACTACTTTATTGCTCTTTATAAATATAGGGGAAGGGAACTCATAGAAGGGGGACCATTCACAAAGAAAAGAACGAAAATCACTTTAGAGCTAAGGGGAAAGAAAAAAAAAAGAATTTAGGGGAACAAAAGAAATCAATCTGGTCTCGCTCAAGCTCAGCCGCACAGCTTTTGATTTTGTGCCGCCGAAGCCACCTCACCGGAATTCCAATTTAATCGTTGCTTTCTATTTCTTTCCCGTCGAAATAAATTGATTTCTTTGGAAACAACTGAAATCTTTCTCTGCTAAGTTGTATTGGAGCTGGGGTATTGAAGTAGTTCGAGGTTGCCGGAGAATTTTCTATTCGAAGTTTCATCCGTCATCTCCAGTCGCGGTTCATTCCACACAGATTTGGAAGTTCTGTTTTCTCCTTATGTATTGAAGAAAATTTTTAAAAAGCTATTGAAGGTTCACACTTATTCTTATCCTCGTGTTCAATAATATTTCATCTTTCATGCCTTAAGTCCATTCCTTGTCATGTCTTATTGTTTTGTTTGTTTTTTGTCATTTAAGCTAGTTTACTGAGTGTTTGAGCATGTTTAAATTATTTTATTATTATTATATTATGTTTAATTTTGTTGCTAGATAAAATAACTTTTGTCACCGATAAAAACTTTGGTATATTTCCTCATTTACTATGTTACATCGTTTTGCTACCATGGCCAGGGACTAATCAAACAAACATATGACTTTAGCGTTTCTTAACTTATCTACTTATTTGTTGTGTCACAATGGATTGATGTTTTAAGCATGAACGCTGTAATCGTCGTATTTTAAGGTTTTAGCTTTATCCAATTTAGAGTTTTGTCAACTACAATTAGCTATGGGAACTCATACATTGAACGACTATCACTAAAGTATAGAAAATGTTTTACTATATAATCTCAAATTAGATTTAAAAAAAATAATAACTCTGAAAATTCGCACAATGCTTTAGGCGTGCTTTTAGTCTATCATCGTGATTGTGTACACGTTCGCGTGACATATTTATGATTTTTCTAAAAAATCGAGGTATCGTTCACGCAACTTTGATAAAACTTTCATAATAATAATAAAGCGTGATTAGTTGTGGACACGTACGCGTGACATGATTCTTGACGCGCCAAACAAAAGAGTACACGTACGCGTGACTCGTTTTAAAAATAATTCCTTAATTATGAATAAATCAAGCGATTAAAAGCGGTAAAAAGGTAAATGCACATAGGTATTAAAATGAGTAGTTAAACAATTTAAGCCAAGTATGAATTGCTAAGCGACCGTGCTAGAACCACGGAACTCGGGAATGCCTAACACCTTCTCTCGGGTTAACAGAATTCCTTACCCGGTCTTCTGGTTTCGCGGACTTTAAACAGAGTTAAATTTCCTCGATTTGGGATTTAAAATAAATCGGTGACTTGGGACACCATAAATTATTCCAAGTGGCGACTCTGAAATAAATAAATAATCCCATTTCGGTTAATGTCACTTAAATTGGAAAAACTCCTTTCTTTCCTTATCTCCTCGGGTGTAAAAAACGAGGTGTGACAACAATTTATTCCACCATCATTCCTAACCAATTTATAACATCCAACAACGTATGTATGATCACCCATTCATACCCAACCAACAATTTATATCAAATAATCACCCTTTCAATCTCTACAATAATTATGTATTTATATTGGGAACTTATGGCTTCCCATCACTACACCAAGAGTTCCAACACTTAATTCATACTCATATTCCCATAATATATCCATATATGTAAGTCTAAGGGTAAAAGATTACCTCTTGTTGGCCAAATCTTGAAAGATAACTTTTGTGATGTTCTTGAGATTTTGAAGAAATCCTATGAAATCCAATCAAAACCCTGTTTTAACTAGTGATTGAGAGATGAAATCACCATGAAAACACACTTAAAAACTCACCTTAGGTGTGTGATTGGATACCTTGGTCGGATTGGGGATGGAGAGGATGCCCTAGGCTTGAGAAATGACTTAAATCCTCTCATTTCCCGTCCTTAGGTGTATCTAGAGGTCTGCTACTAGTGCACCGGCGCTATGGCCGCGCTAAGGATGCAAAATACTTCCCAATATGCCTGGCCGCGCTAAGGCCGCGTTAAGGCCGCGCTTCGACACCTGCCCAGTAAAATGGTCGTAACTTTCTGTATACACCTCCAAATGACGAACTGTTTGGTGCGTTGGAAACTAGACTCAAAGAGCTTTAATTTGATAGGTTGTGAATCCCACAACTTCTTATATACACGTATATATGCTCGTCCAAAGTGAGGTCTTGTGCGTATTCATTTGAAATCTTAGCCTATTATGAAATTTCCAACTTGGCTTAGACTTAGGCTTCCTTTTGGACCTCACATCATTTATTACATGACTCATACACTTATTCACCACATCCAATTCATTTGCGTCATATTTAAAGAACATAAAATATTACAATTAGTCTACCTGGTACCCCGAAATCCTATATCGCCTAGCAAAATTTTCCGGGGCCTTACAGTATCTTATCAATGTTAGCTCCAAGGACCTCCAGTTCATTTAGAAGACTCATCATCTTCAGAACATGGTCCCTAACCGATGAACCTTCAACCATTTTGGTATTCAGAAGAGCTTTCATGGCAGTTTGCTTAGCCGCACGATTCTGATCTCCAAACATTTCTTTGAGATTTTCCAGAATGTCATAAGCAGACTCCAGCGACTGATGCTGATGCTGCAGAACATTTGACATAGATGTCAGAATGTAACACCGCGCCATCTCATCAGCCTTGACCGATTTCTGGTAAGCCTTTTATTCATCATCCGTAGCATCATCTCCAGGTTTTTCTAGACACACCTCATCGAGCATAAATTTGTACTCTTCAGCAATTAGGACAATGTCCAAGTTTCGTTTCCAATCAACATAATTCGGACCCTCAAGTTTGTTTTGAGTAAGAATAGTAGTAAGGGGATTGAAAGCAGTCATTGTAAATCTGGGAGATAACTAAAATTAATAGATCAAAATCAGTCATGTATTATTTGACTATTAAAATTCAAAACAAACTACATATATATATAATCTATGCACCTTGAACAACAAATTTCGATGGGAAAAAAGCTATTCTTGCAATATACATATGTAATGACAGATTATTCACTCCATGAATTTAGACATGCCATACTCAGATAGAGAGTAAACTGTTAATTTAAGTCAAGTGAATATCAACATTCAATATATATACTAGTTCCATTGAACCAACATGCATACTCATATGGAGAGTAAATACAAGTAATCAACAACTAGTATAACCTAGTGATTATCTATAATGAGTTTATCCGATATGGAAGAAGACCTACGTCAATGTGTAAAAGTATTATATCACTAGAATTTTAACCCTGGAGTCCATAGGAAACGACCCCTACCACCACTGGATTAAAAACAACTGAAATTTTTTTTGAAAATTTTCTAGAAAATTAATAAAACGTCCAAAACACCATCTAAACGACCCCGAAATCCCAAAAAAATAGCTTGCCTCATGAGCAAAGCTGATGAGTATTACTCACTGGGCCGTTTCGCATGGACCTGCCAAGTTTCAGGTCAATTGGAGTCCGTCAACATGTTGACCTCCGATTTTCTTGTCAATTCGGCCAAATAGTAACTTTTCTGTTTTTCATGGATTAATGTAATTTTCAGATTATTCTAATCAAATATCGTCAACTATAAACAGATATTACATAATTTTCAAAATAATCATAATACTCAGAACAAATATTCATGTTAAAAACAATGCAGTTTTACAGAATTCAAAACAATCTTTGCATGTAATTCAAAACTTGCATATTAACATGATACTAATTTTATTGTTCATCCTAATCATTTAATTAGACGTGAGTAGGCTCTGATACCAATTGTTGGATTATATATCGCAGCGGAAGCAATCACAGTATCATATTCACGTATGAATTAAACTATTAGCACAAACGGAGATTATTCGAGTTACCTCTTGAAGCATGGGCAAAGCAAATCAATATCCGTCTCCAGTTCCAGAGTTGCAAGACCTCAGCAAACTTCCACAGTCTTCTACCGTGTTACCCAAATAATATCCGGAAAGAGAGAACTTCGGGTGGGCGAAATTCAAGGAAGAAAAACGTGTGGTTTTTTCAGTGTAAAAAACGGCCAGCCATATCCCATGTATATATAGCTACCGTTTTTTAGGTTAAAACCCTTTTCCAAAATCTGTTAGGTTTTCTTCTTCCATTAAGGAAAGGTTTCCTTTATTTCCTATTATGGAATTAATTTCGAAAGAAATTAATTTCTTCCATAATAAATTATGAATTATTCCACTAAAAATTCATAATTGCACTCCTTAGTTCAATTTCGAAATTCTTCCATAAAACCTTATTTAACTCCCCATGTTAAGATTCAGATACTAACCAATCAAATTAAATTACTGACAGTTTAATTTATTGACTACTTCCTTTAGACTTTCAGTTAACTTATTTCATGTGTCGGATACAAAATCCACCGGCCGGGTTTACACATGAAAACTTATAAGCTTTCATAAAGGAGTATCATCAATCTCATAAACCGAGACATGGATTCTATCAACTAATTATTAATTCGCCAATGTATATCATTATTGTCCAAGTTACCAGGCTTATTGACCCGCGAAAGAATCTCGCCTTTTAATAAATCAAAACAATAAATGATATACACAACTAATAATAATTATATTAAGATTAAGAGTATAAGTACATTGAATGGACTAGAGAAATTATTTTATTAAGACTAGAGAAATTATTTTATTAAGTCGGTATGAAATACCTATCTCTACTTGATCCGTTCAATACATACAAAATGTACTAGCACAAGAAGTTGGTATTAAACCATTCTCATAATCAAGATATATAAATTATATTTAATCTTGTGCTACAACCATTCAGATGGTTTGTCCAGTTCCATCATTAGATTGTGAACATAAACTTTATGACTTATAAGAACCGATGATTTAATTTTCCGTATATAAGCTAAACTCTATACACTAAATCATCTACTATATAAGCAACGGACATACAAACAAATACATAATCTATTTAAAATAAAACTTTATTGAATTGAATAAATAAATAAATAATTGTTCCATAAAGAATACTATAACAATAAGCATGGTTTATAGTATATCCTAACAATCTCATCACTTTTATTTAATGTGGTAAATGAGTTTCAGAAAAACACATTAGTATATTGAAAGATCTAACTAATGTCTATGCTCACTACTAATTGTTATTGAAAGATCGAACAAAAAAGAAAAGAAAAATCTTTTTACAACAAATGTAAATGATTAATATATGTACCTCAGCAATTTCAATGTGCAGGTTTGATTAAGGAGAGAAAAACCCCGAGGTAGAGGATGATCTGTCAATTCATGCTTTCTATACGTGTTCATTAGCAGCATTTTGTAGCTAACACTGAAATAGATGAGTGTAAAAAAAATGAAAGACAGTCCTGTACATAAAATATCTTGTATTCACACATGAATTAAGTAACAAAAACAGATGAAGAAGGTCCTTCGTGAAATTTGAACCTTCCACATTTGGGTGCAAAGAAAATTTACAATAAAAAATTGCAACTTTAATAGATTAACAAGGATCTAATTTTGGTATATGTTGAACTTTAGACAATATTTTACCTTTGCAATTCATAAATAATCTCCTATGTTATATTCATTAGGATTTTGAAGGCCACCCCGATGCAAGGTATCTTGTGTCACGCAGGATTCGAGGAAAGGCCGCGCCCCAAAGGATGTGATGTAAACAGCCTATTCTAATGCAAGCATTAGAAGCTGCTTTCATGGTTCAAATTTATAATATTTAGATCACACAGATACAACTTTATCGTTGCTCCAAAATTCCCCTTCTTTCACTAGGATTTTGAATCTTGGATATATGCTAGCAATAAGAACAGGGACATTTTGTTTCGGCTAGAATAGAAGTTATGGGTTTATCTTAATCCATAGTTTCAGATCCTGTATATCTATTAGAAAACTTTTTATATATATATATAAATAATAGATTTTGAACCTATTTACTCAGATGAATGTGAACCCATAAAACTAAAATCTTGAATTCGGCTTTATTAATATAATAAAATACAGCCCTAATACTCCAGTGATGAAGAATTAAGAAGCTCACACGAAAGCTTCCAACAAATCTTTTGTACGTATTCTTTTAAGTTACTAGTTGCAAGTTGCAAGTTGCAAAACCAAAAAGATTATGAAGTTAATGTCTGAAGCTACTGCACGTGTGACTTGTACCAGTCTTAGTCACAAACTCTGAGAATAGTATGTACTATTTTTTATTTGATTGGTATAGCTGGGGACACAAATCTCAAAGAAACAAAGACCCCTTCTTTAAATGCTGACCTTTAAAAGACCTAACACATTTGAATACTTCCCCTCTCCTACCCCCCTTCCTCCTACTGTCGGTGACACTCTCCTTCATCTTCACCCTCTTTTGGAATTATTCATATGGTAAATCTAATCTGCGTACATTTATTTATTTTTATGTTTTTCTTAATATAGTAGTATTTGAATCGAACGGATCCTTGGAGCAACCGTAAAGTTATTTCGGTGTGATCTATTGGTTATGCGTTTGAGTTGTTGAAGCAGCCATTAATACTTGCATTAGGTTAGGTTGTCTATGTCCAACGGGCTGCCCTTAGTAGTGTTTGAACGAACATGCGAATCCCTCGACAATATTACTATTGGTACGGGATAATTATAATCGTCTTAGACAAATGAGAAAAAACCATTAAATGTTCTTTGTCCACTATTAGTATTTGAAATCTGGTCTCACATAATTTTCACTACTTTGATGATCGCTAGCGAAAAACACTTTTTCAAAAGATTATAAATTGGATAAATCATGCGAGAAAAGGAAAACATATTAGAGTTGTATTATGATTATATGAATATATCGATGAGTATTTACCGTTTATCATAAGTTCAATTCGTCATTGATCCTATATATGGATTGACAACTCACTAGGTCAATAACCTTCCTTGTTCAGTCACAGTAAAAGGTAGTATACATTAGGGTGTAGACTAACAGTTGACTAGTAGCATTGTGAGATTCAAGAACAGCTTGCAGTGATAGTTCTAGACGGCAAAATAAAAGGGAGCATATAATATAAAAAAATATGCATATGACAATATAATATGTGATCTAACAATAATTTAAAGCAGAAAACTAGCTGGTGTGTCTGGACTTTGCCTTTACAATAAGGAGGCAAATATCTTGTAATTTGATATTCTCCTTCCTTTCCTACCCACCTTCTAATTAAGTGCCCCCAAAAGTTTCACTTTTATAAAATTCTCTTTACTATATAACACAGCCAAATTCTCTTACTCAGCACCAAACTCTCTAATTTCCCTCCCTTATATAAATAAACTCATTTCCCTTCCCAAAATCATTCATTCATTTCCCAAGAAAAAAGAATAGAATACCAAACTTCCCCTTTCAAATTTCTTTCTAGCTCTGTGTTTTCCTCTGAATAAACTCATAATCAAGAAATGGCCTTGGCTGTAACAAACTCAAATATATCTCCAAGAAAACTAAGGGATGATCTTTATTTTTACTCATATCAACAAGACTCAAATATTCCATTAGTGATCTCAGTTCTTGCTTCTTTAATTGAGAGAAATTTGGCAAGGAATCAAAGAATAGCAAAAAACTGTACATGGGCATTATCCAAGAATGTAAGAACAAGAGTATTTGATTGCCATGAAACACCAGATATGACAATACAATCATATTTGGAGAGAATATTTAGATATACAAGAGCTGGACCTTCAGTTTATGTGGTTGCTTATGTATATATTGATAGATTTTGTCAACTCTATCCTGAGTTCAGAATTAGTCCAAGAAATGTACATAGGCTACTTATTACCACTATTATGGTTGCTTCCAAATATGTTGAAGACATGTAAGTTTCTTTTCTTTAATTTTTCTTCCTTTTTCTTTGTCATCCTATACTTCACTTCACTTTTTGGTTTTTGCTTCAATTTGAAGACTTTTATTATAAATGACCATGAAAGAATAGACTAGTCAAGGCTGCAAACTGAAGTAAATAACTTTTGTTGCTGACTTTTGCTTTCTTTCCTCAAAAATATTTGACAAAGATCATCAAATTCTATGGAGTACTTTTTACTTTATTTTTCCTTTTCTTCATAATTGTTGCTTGCTTTTGAAAACCATAGAATTAATACAATTTTATTTCTTTCTTTCTCAAACTCCCCTGCTTAACAAATTGACAAAACAAAGTCTTAAAGAGAAACACTTTAGCTGATATAGTCAAACTTCTTTATAACAGCCTCGTTTGTTTTCTGCTATTTGTGACTGCTATAGTAAAGTGCTCTTATAGTAAGCATATATTATAACATAACATAAAAATTAGTTTTAAGAAATATTGGATGCTCTTATAGAGAGGTCTGATTGTATATATTTTGAATTATTTTCTGCAGGAATTATAGGAATTCATATTTTGCCAGAGTTGGAGGATTGACAACAAATGAAATGAACAAATTGGAGATGGAGTTTATATTCATGATGGGGTTCAAGTTTCATGTGAATGTAAGTGTTTTTGAGAGTTATTGCTGCCATTTGGAAAGGGAAGTGAGCATAGGAGGAGGCTATGAAATTGAGAGGACTATAAGGTGTGCTGAGGAAATCAAATCAAAACAAAGAGAAGAAAGAAGATGTAGCCAAATTACTAGAGTTTTGCTCTAATTCAATTTCATAATGGGAGTTTTTCTATAACAAATTGTAAATGCTATGTAAAGGAGTTTTCAATGTTTTTGCTGTGTAACAAAGCATAGTAGAAGTTCTCAAATGTAACAAGTTTTGCTTAGGCTTTCTGCAGTGAAAATATTTGATTTTGAAATCACTTTAAATCTCTGCTTGGTTTAAAGCAATACACGTTAATCATTCTTGGTCAGTAAGTCAAAGAGATAACTTCATAACTTTTACTGAAACGAAGACCGAGGTCAGGTGGTTTTTTTTTAACCCACTAATTTTTATGCGAAATATAAATTTATGCATAAAAATTCTTAAACTCAACTCCGACAAAGTTAAAAGTATATATATATATATATACAAAGTGTAGATGTCATTGAGCGGAGAGTAGAAATGCATCACGTAGCCATTATAAACGGCTGCTATTTAGGAATTAGCTAGCGTGTCGCTAATATCTAAATAACATCTCTGAAAAAGGCTATCTGTGCACTTGCCCCTCATTGAGACTAAAAGAAAAAAGTTCAACAACTTTGTTCGGGATTGGATGGAATTGCCTAAAATAGCCAGAAAATTATAGATAGAATAGAAGACAAGAACAATGACACCACATTATGAGGTGTTTGGCCAAGCTTTTGGAAGGAAAAAAGTAGCTTTTGAGGAGAAGCAGAAGAAGTTTTGGAGAAGCAGAAAAAAGTACTTCTCTCCAAAAGCACTTTTTTGAGAAGCACTTTTGAGAAAAATACACTTAGAAGCAGTTTTTTAAAGCTTGGCCAAACACTAATTGCTGCTCAGAAGTGCATTTCAAACTAATTAGCCAAACGCAAATTGCTTCTCACCAAAAGTACTTTTGAGAAAAACACTTTTGAAAAAAAACACTTCTCAAAATAAGCTGATTTTTGTAACTCGGCCAAACGAACTATAACACAAGAAAATAAGGAATCCCGCAAGCCGTCTCTACCATATCTGTCAAATTTACAAACAGTGGTGCACAGATCGGCTTGTGTGCACCTCAATATCTATTACTTTCAACCAATACAGCTGTACAAGTATCGAATAATATTGTCCACCAAACCTTAAAGTATTGAATAAAAGAAAAGAATTCACCTGGTGATTTTGCCTCGGCTAGAATTCATGCTACAACTCTAAACGGGTAACATAGGTAAGTTCTTCCTTAGAAATACGGAATCACCTAACTATAGATGGGATAAATTGCTTAAGTTAAAATGTTGCATGCTCTGTTATGGGACTTAATTCGTCAATATTGGTTGATCCTTAAAGATGACGTACATAAGAGACTATAATAACCAAACAAGAAATCAATATACGACATCTCCTGATGGGGAAGCAGTGAAGGAAGTTTGAAGTGCCTAAAAGACTGTTGTTTCTTTAATTTAGTATGTACAAAATTATGTAAGAGAGTAGTAATTATCTAGATTTTCACGAAATACCAGAGAAAAGAATAAATTTCTTAACTTTTTATTGGCAACAAATATGTAAATTAAGTGAAATGAACAAGATGTTGAAGTCGAAAACAGTGAGTCAAGAAGGATTTAGTTCTAGACAGCTAAAGTTTACAAAAAAAGCTTAGGGTAAAGTCCGTCACCTAATTAGTACTAATAATAGCTCATGATTGCAATTCCTTTGCCTTTTTATTTGCGATAAATTTTCTTTAGTCAAATCCTATAATGGTGTGTACGAACAAATATAATTTAAGGAATTGAGAAACATTTAAGAACATAATAAACTACTAAAAGACCCAAAGTAGAGCAGCATCTAATTATGGGAGATCTGATTCACATCATAATGTCATGCCAACAGAAAACAAATTTTGAGAGTCAATGGAGGAGAAGAGGTAGAATTAGGACAATGCAATTATTGCTTCATATATTTATTTTAAGTAAAGAAAAGCTATGGTTTTAGTAAAGGTTCAGCTAATCAAGAACAATATATTTCAGAAATTGATTTGTTTAATATCCTAACCAAGATACAATGTTTCTTGCTTCTTTCAAGGTTTTCTCTTTCTTGTATGATTAGCCGTAGCCTTAGACTCAACAGTGATGTTTTTTTAGTAGTATTGTCGTTTTACTTCGTGCTTTAGAGAGTATAATAGGCTCGTATTCATAATATTATGTAAAGGCAAAATAGGGAAGAAAAATGGGTGATAGTCATTCTGCTCCTTCCACTTTGTGTAAAAAATCAAACTCGTGCTATATGCTATAGAGAATTAAAGATTCTCCCACTCCCATATCAAAGTCACTGTTTTAAAGAGTGAGGGCGTGATGTGAGGCGTTTTACTTAATATGGGGCGAGGCGAAAGCCTCGAGACACAGGGCGTAAGCTCCAAGGTTCTTTAATTTTTTAATTTATGAATTAATAATATAGCATTATAACATAATTAAAATATAAACGATACATTATAAGTTCAAGAAAACTAAATAGAATTAAAGAAATTCATATAAAATAAAATATTTAGCATGTTTTAGAAGTATAAATAATATAATATCGTTAAAGTTACTATGAAATATAAATTAACTACAACCACTTTACTTTCAAACAATTAAAATTATAATTTTTTGAAAAATATTATCAAACTGCATATTTTACCTCTTTAAAAGTAAATACTCAATAAATTTTATCAACGCGGTCATTTAAAATATTACTCCTTCATGAGTAAAGATAAAATAATTTTTAAATAGTAAAATAAGAAATATATGATAATATTGAGAGACATAGAACTAAGACGTGAAGATCTATCAAATAAAGATATAAATTTTGGTTATCTATTTTTAGAAGAAATATTCAAATGATATTCACCTTCAGGATGTTCTCAATTAGTAAATGTGCAATACTATAGTTCGTCATTTGAGTTATTTACAATTTATATTTCTATAGATAAAATTAACTTTAATCATTCATTTGTTAAAGAAATTTGAGAGTCAACAGTGCAAATTAGTGAATTCAACCCATGATTTGCATAGGAACTGTTGGGCGAGTCCCGAGCGTTGAGCGTTAGGTGTGTTTAGGGCGCACAGTCGAGCGTTTGGGGGCGTAAGCCTCACACAACTAAGCCCCACACATGAGTCTCAGGGCGTTTTGATAGTGCCCTATCCCGGGACGAATACCAAAAAAGCCTTTTAAAATACTGATCAAAGTATGATGATTGACTTTGTATATTTAGTATGATGGAAGGCTTTTTTTTTTGGATTTTTATTTTGAAAGATTCTTTTTTAACAAAAGAGATGAAATAACTTTCCTCACCTATTTTGGGGTGATTGACACAAAACGAACTTTTTGGATTGGTCTTAGCGGAATGTTTCTAAAATTAGTGGTATTTAAAAAATGACTTCGGACTCGCACACACACAGTTCTTCAGGGGTTCTGCTACCGAATTAAATTGTTCATCGTAGTTTACCGGATTAGCATACTTTTTCGGATTATTTTGACAAAATGTGTTTGCAACTTCAATTTCGATCAAATCACCCCAAATATGTTCCAAATTATCTCAAATTTGAAACAAAGCTTTCAAATACAATTACAAATAATCCTCAATCACCAATTTAGTCGAATACCACCAAATAAAAAAGACCCACTTTATCTTCTTTAATACTTTCTAATGTTCAGCAATGGAGTTTTGTTTACCTTAAATCATCAAAATCTGTGATTGAACGAAAAATAAGAACTATGATGTTCAGTAAAAAATTAAACGTTTTGCTAAGACTGTAAAAAAAAAAAAATAAAAATAAAAAAAAATATATATATATATATATATAGGAACATTTCGCCAAGACCATCCATTTGGGTCACACCGTTCTTATTTTTTTTCTTCTAATAGCCCATTTAAAGTAGTTGTCAAAGGATTAGAATGTGTTTTATGGTGACGAAAAATAAGTATGTGAAGAAGCTTTCTTCTTTACATTTGGTGTCTACGAAAAAATCACCATGTTAATATCCTCTCATTTGTCACAGTCATTCAAAAAAGCTATGAATAGACAAGACCTTTGTTTGCATCAAGAAGATCCTTGTAGGATTTCTTTTTTATGTATATTTTCCCTTATTTTAACTTTAAGTTTTGCATGGATGATATCAGTTATCTATTCGGTTGTTGAAAGACTACATCTCTTGACAAAGACCTATCCTGTTCCACTTACATTCACTTTAACTACTGGTATAACAAAATCACGGACAAGTAGGATGGAAGTTTGGAAGAAACGGTAAAATCATTTCCACCAAATTGGAGTCATTTAATTGGATTCAATTTATATGATATAAACTAAGGGTCACCAAATTATATGGAGAAACAGGCTATCCATTAGTTCCCACAGAACATATATACACAGCACTAAGTAAATAACACAATGGAGTTTTACGTGAAAAACTCCCAGCTTACGGGATAAAAACCACGACCTACACTCGTAGGATTTCAACTTCACTACTAAGCAAACTTCAGATTACAAACTATTGTAACCTAGGAATTAGACTTTTAATCCCTCACTAACTTGTAATAACTCTATTACAAGCCCCTTTATAATAACTATATTACAAAGCTTACAACTCGACTATCTCTAGCCAAGACACAAACACAAGGTTTATGGTTTTACAAACGGTTTCCTACATGATGCTTCTTAATTAATTAGCTAAATAGGAATTACAAGTAAATCACTTTAACAAAGGTGAAACACAACTAAGGACATGTAATGGCTCAATGCAGGAAACTCCACTAAATTGGAGTTATTTAATTGGATTCAATTTATATGATAGAAACTAAGGGCCAAACTATATAGAGAAACAGGTTATCTATTAGTTCCCACAGAACATACATACACAACAGTAAGTAAATAACACAATGAAGTTTTACGTGGAAAACCCCCAGCTTACGAGATAAAAATCACGACCTACACTCGTAGGATTTCAACTTCACTACTAAGCAAACTTCATATTACAAACTTTTGTAACCTAGAAATTAAACTCTTAGTCCCTCACTAACTTGTAATAACTCTATTACAAGCCCCTTTGTAATAACTATATTACAAAGCTTACAACTCGACTATCTCTAGCCAAGACACAAACACAAGGTTTATGGTTCTACAAACGGTTTCCTACACAATGTTTCTTAACTAAGCTAAGTAGGAATTACAAGTAAATTACTTTAACAAAGGTG